GAGAGATAAGGATGAGGGAGGTGAAGTATGCATATCCTGTGAAGGGGCATGAAGGTGTCAAGGGCAAGGAGTATGGTACCAAGGAGTTGAAGCAAGGCAGAGAAGGGGTGAGATCTGCAGTAAAGGTCGGGAAGTTTGGGAAGTTGGAGGCAGATGGGAGAGTGGCATGGGAACATTCAACTGGTGGAGAGGAACAAAGTGGGACAGGAAGTAATCAGGCCAGGAAGATTAGAAGTAAGTTTTGAGAGGAACAGAGAGGTGTGTAAATACGTAAATGAGGGTTAGAGAGTGAGGTGTGGGATGGGCTTTGGGAAGGGTCTAGGGTGATAAAACACTGTCTAGTTGGTGCTCATTGAAATATGGATGGGGATGTTGGGCGTGGACCACAATGTAGAAAGAACATGGGAGTTTGGAGGAGCGGGAATGGGTAAGGATATAGGTCAAGGATCTGGGGAGGTATATTTCAGCAAATGACTGCTTTGTCACTCCCAGCTTTAGTTCATATATCCTTGTCCTAGCTGTAAGCATTGCCTCTTCTCTGTGCCTACTCTTGGATTCTGGGGCACCCACCTTTCCTAGAACATACAGTCCTTAGTGATGAGGAGGTGAACTGCTATGAAGCTAGAGGCCCCGCCCCCAGAGCCAGCTTTGCTATGATTCCCAGGAGGCTGCTTATTGCTGGCTTTCCTCTTCCTCTGCCTCCAAACAGGAACCAGGGCACCCTTTCTAGCTTTTAAGAGTTCTGGGCCAAGAGAACATCTGAGTGACAACAAGAACTACTATTCAACTTGGGACTCTTGAAGCCCCTGGCTCTGAGTACCCATCATCTCCAGTGTTAGCCTGAGAGTCCTGTTTGGCAGGAAAGCTGTGGCAGGTGGGAGGAGAGAAGGCAGTGAAGCAGAAACAGCTGCCAGCCGCCAGAGTGGAGGAAGAGCAAGGCCCCAGTAGGTATGGGCAGAAAGTGAGGTACTGTCTCTGGCAGCCCCCACCCTCTCCCTGTGTGAGGGTGTTGAGGCCAAACCTCCTTCCCTAGCCTCTCCCATCCAATCCTGCTGCTGAAGAACTGAACCAGACCCCTGAGGTCGACTGCTCCAGTTCCTTCCTCCACACAAATACAGCCTTCGAGTCGTCTCCCTGGCATTTTCACCCAGCAGTCCACTTGTGTTAGGCCAGAGACATCCTGGAGCACTGAGGCAGTCTGTTCCTTCTTTGCAAAGAAAAGCTGGAGGGAGAACCTCTGATCTGCTAAGCCTTGATGCTGTAAAGACTTCTCATTAATACTGAATTCATAGGGCCTTTCTTGATGAACGAGCCCCATTTGGCAGATTAAAACAGTGAGGCTCAGAGGTTTGGAGTTCATTGGTTCAAGGTCACACTGGTATGAAGTGAGAAATTTAGAATTCAGGACTTTCCATAAAGTCCCTTGGAGCAAGACATGCATGTTTTATACAAGGACAATCCTTCTGAGGTGTGAAATCTGAGACCATATTTTCCCGAGTCTCTTCTTCTCCAAGTCAAACTCCTTTAACTCTCTCCAGGGAATTTAGGTTTCAGCCTCCTTCTCCACCTCATCAGTTGATTGTCCCAGCATCAAACCTGCAGGCTGCCAGGTGGGTGCCAGACAGTCTGGAGTGGGTCAGCACTATCCCATCCTTCTTTGAACTAGCTGATTAGTGCAGCTAATGGCTATTGCAAGAGCTGACAACGTCCCTCCTCTTGGGCCTCTCGGCCTTAGAGGAATAGCGGTGAGAAAAGAAGCCAGAGTTTGCTCCCGTGCCCTCATTCTCCTTACCCTGAGTGTTCTGAATTGAGAGGAAGAAAGAGGCAGAGGTGCAGAGGTGGGAGAGGCAGCTAGCAGCAGGCAGGGGCATGGTGAGATTAGGATGAAATCTGGGAGGGGATTTATTTGTGTGGTAACTCTGGGCACGACTAAGGGAAAGATTGTGTGTGTGTGTGTGTGTGTGTGTGTGTGTGTGTGTGTGTGTGCTGGGGGGGCTTGGTCACAGGGAATTAAGGGAAGGATGGGGTGTGGCCCTTGGACCTAGGAGAGGCCAGTATGGGGATGGGCATTGGCCCGAGTTTGCTACATTTCTCTGCTATGTGAGAGGAAGTCAGTCGCACATTAAGAAGATGTTACAGCTGGTACTAAATTGGGAGGTGTCACAGGCAGCAGTGAGGACAGGTATGATTCCTGGGGCCCTGTGTGGCCCAAAACAGGGGCAGACATCTCAGAGGCAGAGAACAGAGTTTCTAGGGCCACACCAGGAGGATCTGATTCAGACATTCAGAACAAGGGCCCTGGGGCTAGGGGGTCCCCTGGCTCTAGAACCCGGCTCCAGTGTTGGTTTACAGACAGAGAAAACCTCCTCATCTTACATAGGACTTCAGGGTCTCACTTAAGAGGATTCTGGGTGTAGGATATTATCTCCATTATCTCTGGGTGTAGGATATTATCTCTATTTGGGGTAGGGGCCAGACAGGGGAGCTCTGAGCTCAGGGGAGGGAGGCTTAGTATGGGTAAAGAAGGCCTGTGACAAGGTGGGGTGAGTGATTGAGGAGACAGGGTGTCAAGAAGAAGGGGCTCAGGACTGCCTGTCTCTTTCATGCCATCAGAAAACCGGATTAAAGACTCAGGGCAAAGTGAGCTTTGGGCCTCAGTTGAAGGAGAACGCTTTGGACGAGGCAGAAACCACAGGAGGAGAACTGAGGAGCTGGCACAGCTCTTCTGCAGGCATTAGACAGTAAGAGCAGGAGAGCTCACTTGCTGCTGGAGAGAGCCATAGAGACAGGAGAAAGGGCCTGGGGAACTTGATAGGAGGCTACTGCCAAAGCAAGGATTTAGCATGAGGAGACTGAGTTGGAGTACCGGAATTCCTGATCATTGCTGAGGGCAAATTGTATTACCCGTCTGTACCTCAGTTCCCTTATCTGCAAAATGGAGGTAATTTAGACAGTTGTATTCTCATAACATACACGAACAACCGAAAGCCCTAAATATTCACTTATGCCAGGTGTTAAATTCTTACCCCAGAATGCTACTAGTCACGCATTCCCACTTACATCTCACAAAACACCCAGGACTTGGACAGGGAAAGAATATTTTTTCCTGTTTTATAAATGAGGAAATGAAAGCTTAGAGCGGGCACAGAAACATGCTTGAGAGCAAACTGCTAACACCCCTCAACAGATGAGATAAGACCTCCGGAATCAGACAAAAGCTCTGCCTTCCCAGACATCAAACTGCTTTGTAGCAGCAATCACTGTGAAGGATTTAGTGTGGGCTCAGAAGGAGCTTGGATCCAACTGTAACATGGAGAAAACCCCCATAGAAAAGTTGTACCGTGGTTTTCATTAATTTTGGAGACTGACAAAAGAACAGTTATAGCCCTGGAATTGGAGAGGGGACCACAAAATGTAGATCTCCTTTATTCTGTTTGCTAGGGGACCTCTGCTCTCACTGAGGACATGCATCCGTGGCAGGCAATTAGAGTATGCATCTCTACCTCTGTACGACAAAATGTGTCTTTCTTCATGTGATTGCATGTCTCTGACACCACAGGGAGATGCATGTGACATGGCGCCTGCTTCCACAGCACTGTTTATGAAAGTGACAACCTCTCAGTTCCTCTGTATGACTTTGTCCAGAGTCTCGCTAGCGGTGCATGGTTGGATATGTTTGTCTCTCTGTCTGTACACCTTTAAGAAGTGGAATATCTCATTTGGTAGTGTGAGTGAGGCAGTGAGTCAGCTGAGGCTGAGTGAGGCGGGAGGAGACTGCTAGGTTACGAGAATAGGAAAAGGGAGAAGGAGAAAGTGAAGTCAGGATGGACGAGCTACTCCTTTCCTCCCCAGTCCTCCACCCCAAATCCCCAAGGGGCCCATAGAGAGCAGCAGAACCTTGCAGAAGTCCACAGGAGCGATGCTGCGCTTGCTACCCTTTCTCAAAGCCTTGAGAGATGTTCTACACTAGGAGGTAACTGCCTCACTCTCCAGCTGATGGCCCCCAGCTCTAGAATGTGTGAGACCAACCTGGTCTCACTGTCACTTGTCCTTTTGACCTTGCTGTTCTTTCTTTCCACCCAAAACAGGCCACCTGCCCAGGCAGGAAAAACAGGGAAGTAGATTCAAGCCCCAAATGTGTATAGCCCCACCTACCTATTATTACAGAGAGCAACCCTACTGAGGGTCAAGAAATTTCTCAACACTCAATTCTTTCCTAGGAAGGTCCCTTTTACAGTTGCCTACTCTCTGATTTCCTCTAGATGCCCATCCCTAGCAGCCAGAAAGCCAGGTTTTCCTGTCACCACCCTGGAGCACTGCGAGTTTTGTAATGCACCAACCTTCCATGGCCCTTCCAAGAGCTGGTAAGCCCTGTTTCCCCAGCCTTCTTTCCTCAGAAGACAGAAGCCTACAGGTTCCCTCCTTAAGAGAAGGCAGGCATCCCTGGGCTCCCGTGCCTAGGATCTGGCCAGCTATCTCAGGTCATATAAGGTCAACAGTGTGGTTGGTGTACCCTGTCACCAGGCGTGGCCTGGCCTTTCATCAATTGGCAGGAACCAAAGGCTGAGGATTAGGTAGTCAAATATTCTTCCTCCTGCCTTTTGAACATCCCCCCCCCCAACCCCAATCCTTCTACAGGATTAGTCCCAGGACTAATTCTAGTCCAAGAGTGGGTTCAGAGCCAACCAGGAGACTGGGGAACACAGACTCTCTTGCTGCCACTTTGCCTGCCCAGGGCCCCACTTCCCCCTCATACGGGAAGCAGTGCACCAGGAGGTTCCAGCCTTAAAATGTTCAAACCTTAAACTCATAGAAGTTGACCTGAATCTCTGTAGCTCCCTCTCTAGGGAGGGGTTCGGGGTGACACAGTACTACACTGGGAATGGTGGGAGCCATACGGGGGGGGATGGAGAGGGAGACCTTTATTTTTTCCTGGTCCCACTGACACAGAAACTACCTCTGGCCAGGCAGCTATTGTAGCGTGGGTCATCAATCCCTACCTTGCAGCCTTTCGTGCAGGACCGGATAGAGTACTCTTCTGCCTGTAAGTATTTATGCAGCACGAGGTCGAACTCGTCATATTTTTCCTGAGCATGTCGGTCCAGTCGCTGGTATGCCTCTATGCAGCTGCTACATGCCTCCCAGGTCCCGGAGCCCGGGCTGGCCACTACGGCCAGTAGATCCCCCAGCAGGGTGTCCAGACTGCAGTCCAGGCTGTCGGGGCGGTCCATGCCAAGCAGCAAGTCCCAGACTGTGTAGGTGTCGCAAAAGGAGAGAGTGAAGTTCCGAAAGTGGCCTTTGAGCAAGTTTTTTTTGGCAGAGGGGAACTCCGGGTCACGGGAAGGGGAGTCGGGGGGCCGCAGAGGGGGAGCCGGGGTGGTCGGTTCGAAAAGTTTCTGCAAAGATTCCAATTTGGTGCAAGCTGCGTCCAGCCCGGTGGGCTCAGGGACGCTGTTACAGACCGGCCCAGAACCGGCTGCAGGGGCGGCTTTGGTCAGGTTGCTGTATCGCGGGCTGCAGGTGCCCGAGGACGCTCTGGACTCGCCCGGCGACGGCGGCGGCAGCGGCAGCACGGGGCGAGGAGGCACCGGCTGCCGCTCGCGGCCAGCCCCCCAGGGCGGCCGCATGGCGCTGCTCAGCTCCCTGGCCCGGGGCCGGGCCCCCGCGCACAGCCACAGATGGTCAGCGAGCAGCACGGTGAAGAAGAGCAGGGACGCCAGGGACAGTCGCCATCGCTGCGCCCGCTCCGAATCGGCGCAAGGTTTGTCGCTCTGCCTGGGAGCCCAGCAGCAGCAGCAGCAGCAGATAGTCAGCGCGGCGGTGTCTTTCCCGGGCCACATCCAAGCGCCCCTGAACATATTTCAGGGGGGTCCGGGCTGGAGGGAGTAGGCAGGCGCGAGGCCGGACGGCCGTCTCGGGAGGGCGGGCTGCGCACCGCACCGCGCTCCTCAGCGCCGTCCAGGCTCTACCTCGGGGGCCGCATGGTTAGGCAGGCCGGCCGGCCCGGGGCCCCGCTCAGGCCGGAGTGGCGGGGCGCTCTCGGGCCGTCCCCGCGCCCCTCCCGCGCTCCCCTGCTGGCAGCCGGGTCGCCGCCGCCCGGCCCGCTAGGCGCAGCCCGGCGTCCCGGCGGGGGGCGGTGCGGGGCACTGGGGCGGTGGCGGCTGCGGCGGCGGCGCCGCACTCCTCATAGTGTCGGGCCCCTCAGCTGCCCTGGGCTCCGCGCCACTTCACTCCGCGCCCCCGGCCCCCCGACTCGCACTCCGCTCCGGCCGTCCGTCTCGGCTCGGCGCGGCTCTGCGCCCCTCAGCGCCGCCGTGCGGGCCCCGCCGCGCTCCGCTCCGCTCCCCTCGCCCGCGCCGCTCCTCTCCCGCCCGTCTGCCCGCTGCCCGCTGCCCGCTCCGTGCAGCTCCCCGCCTCGCTCGTGCCCTCCTAGGCCGGCCGGCCGGTCCGCCGCCGGTCCTTCGGGCTTCCCTCGCGCTCTGGCAGTCCGCCGGGGCTGGTCCCGGGCCGGCTCCGCACTGGCTCCGCACCCGCGGCTCCCGGAGTTCCGGCTCGGGCGGGCCACCTGGCTCCCCGCAGCGCCACAGACGCCGGACGCGGACGCCCGGCTTTACTTAGTGCGCCTCTCGCTTCCGCCTCTGCTTCGCACCGCTGTGGCGGCCGCCCAAAGGCATGGCCCCGTGGCTCCCGCTGGCCATGCCCCCTCAGTCTGTCGCCATCTTCCGCTGTGCGGAGAACACCTTGAGAGCCCGTGTGCGAGTGTGTTTGGGGGGGAGCAGGGCGGAGAAAGAGGCACCGGGAGGAGGAGGGAGCGGGACTGGGGCCCCGACTGCGCCTGCGCCTCAGGACTCCCCCCTCCCCAACCCCAGCCCCCGCCGGCCGCAGCCTGTGCTGTTTGGGGATGTTTCCAGTCCACCCCCAACTCCATTCACTTCAGCACCTCCGTTCACCCGACCGCTCCCCGTGTGCACACGCCACACGCAGAGTCCCAGGCCTGGCGCTCCCCCTCCCCCACCAAGCAGCCGACCGCCTACCTCCCCAGGACCGCCCCTCGCTCCCCCCCCCGAGGGCTAAGGGACTTCTGAGGGTGATTCTAAGAACCATGGGGCATCTCCTTAGGTTCTTGCTATCTTTCTGGATAGCCTTGCCCTCGTCCTCAGGACTAGGGGACACTAAAGCCGGTTGTGGATAGGACCGGTCAGGAGTCCCTAACTCCGCTAACGCTCTCCCTGTCCTGCCTGAGGCCAAGGCTGCCCCTGGTGCTGAAGGACAGCTCCCAGTTTAGCTGCCGAAGAGAACCGAGCTAGGAGTGCGTCCTGAAGGAGGCAAGGCAGTGCACTAAGACCGATAGTAGTGGTGGGGTGTCGTTTTTTGCCCTTAGGAAGATTTCCAGCAGCCTCCCCCCAAAACCCGTCCTAGCTTCCTGGCTCCCCCTACAGGCTGCTGAGAATAGCTGAGCGCCAGAGTTAGGGAAGCTGTGCCGGGTGGAACCATGCGCTCGGGGCTCTTAGAGTCACATGGCTCTAAGAACTCGGACATACAAATGTCCTGCCGCGCTACTAACCTTGTTTGGACTCTGCAAACATCTCAGATTGTTTCTGTGGTATACTTCCTATTTGCCTTCCCTCTTTCCTCTGCAAGTCTTCCCATAGTTTTGAGCAGACTACTGCCCCAGGAATTTGTTACTAATCATAACAATGGAAAGAGAACCTTTATTGAGCACACATAGAACTTGCTAGATACTGCACTTGGCACTTTAATTTGCTTTAGTCTTCTGATCTCAACAACCTTATGAGATAGATGTTAGCGTTGTCTTCATTTGCATGTGAGGAAGCTGAAATTTAGTGTCCTTAAACTGCCTCAGATAACCAGTGCATCTTGACAGAAACCCAGGGAGTCTGGCCCTAGACCTCTCTACAGCTCCAGGAAGGCCTTAGAAAGATGAAAAAGTAGGAGACACAGACCTGTCTTAAAGGAAACAACAGTTCAAATAATGAAATGAGAATTATATACTGGCTAGTGGAATTCATGGATTGAGGTGGGTTCAAGTAACACTTGTAAAACTGACCATGCTTTGTGTCATGAAAGAATCTGTTCTATTTTTCTGTCTTGACAACATGGGAGAATACCAAGGGATAAATGAGATGGGTGGGAACTGCTAGCACTACACAGAGCTAAATTGCAAAGGATGTTTGGAAATCTGAGTGGGGTTGGGAGGTTATAGCTGGTTACTAAAGAAGTAGCAGAATTGGGTGGGTAAGTGAGGACGTTCCAGATTAAAAAACAAAACAAAACAGGAGACCAAATTTTCAGGGGTAGAAATCAGACATCCATGTCTTTAGTGTAACAGTTTAGACTTTAGATGCAAAGTAAAGCAAGCTATGGCAAAAAGAAAAACTGTCAAGACATTCAGGAGGCCTAGGCATTCATTATATTTAAGCACTCCTGGACCTGTGTAGGGTGCTACAATTTTCCAGATGTAGCCTTGCTGTGGGAGTGCTTACAGTTGAATTGGAGAAGCAGACATGTCAAAGGAAGGGATTGTAGCCCAATACAAAATAATGGTATCAATAAGAGGTCTCCTTTCCATAGAGAGATGGACTGCTCGACTCTGAAATGTTCCTCAGAGACAATTTTGCCCATAGCCAGGTCAGTTGGCAAATATCTGCTTGAAAATGCATCAAATTCCATGTGCTATACTGGGTACCAGTGATAGAGGCACAAGTACAATGTGTGTCTTGAGATGGAAAGAGGTTAGTTGAAGTGGTATGGGATAAGTGGGTCTTGGCTAAACAGATTGGAGAGGAAGTGATGTATGAAGGGTGTATCAGGAGAAGGGAAGTCATGTGCAAGGGTATAGAAGCAAAGACAGGAAAAGCATGTTTAGAAATCTATGAAGTAGTTTGCTGTGGCTACGTGTAAAGTGGGAACAGTGCCAAGATGGAAGCTGAGCATTTGGCAGGAACCTAGTCATATCCCAACCATGGGTCGCTGAATCCATAGAAGAAATTGGAGGATTCTTGAGAAGAGATACCATGACCAGGTTTGTATTTTCAAAGGATTGATTTGGCTTAGGCACGAAGACTGCATTGGAGAGGGCAAGACTGGAGGCAGGGAAATGGGTTGGGAGACTATTTAGGAGTTCAAATGAGAAGCATTGAGGACTGGACAAAGCATTGAGGACTGGACACCATCAGCTGAGGTGGGGGAAGAAATGTATTTGGGAGGGAAATAAAAAAGGTATAATTGAAAGGATCTAGGACTGACATAGGTGTGAGGAATGGAAACAATTCTGTGAGGAAGGAAGGTGAAGCTAGAGAGCTCCATTAGTGACACTTAGCAGGCCTCCTCCTGGCCACCTAGGGAGTCTTTGGAGAGCCATTCTTTGTTTAGTCTTTGGAAGATTTCAGTGTTATGTTTAACAAAGAAGACTAGTATGCCTAGTTTAAAGCTTATTGGCTAGCCCACAATGATTGATACCCTTTCTCATCATTGGAAAGAGCAGCCTTCCTGGCCTAGGCTATCATCTCCAAGTACCTTTGGAGCATTCTGTGAAAAGTCATTCAGGCAAGACTCTCTCTCTAAGGCGAAATGTGTCTCACAGAAGTCCATTTATCACAGGAGTACAATATCACAATGACTTGCCCACACAGCACCTGGCGCACACAAAGGAGAAGTGATAGCATACTAGCAGCCAGAGGAGGATCTCATTCTCACTCTAGATAACACTGGAAAGTGAAATGAGGGCGGGGAAAGCATTGGCCTCTGCTAGAACAAATAAGGCAAGGTGCAAAGGGGGACTGGAGTGGCACACTGCTCCCTGCCACTGGTAGGATCCAGCCAGGCTTCGTCCCAGCTCTTGCTTTCCATCTGCACCCCAAGCAGAGACCAGAGGCTAAAGGCTGGTCTTGTCTGAGGGGACACACATTACCCAGGAATCACACCCTCAAACTGGACCAGGGAGAAGACAACTTGGGAGTAGAGGGAGGAGGGAAAGAAAGGTTTCCATGTAAAATACTGACAATAGGAAGAAGGCAAAGTGGGGACTGCTTAAAGAAACCAGTGTGGGTATACAGGAGGCCTTCTGTCAAAGCCAGGTTTTAAACAGTCACCAGCAAAAAGATGGAAGGAAGAGCATGCAAGGAAGGGTGAATCTAGGAAGAGTGTCAGGATGGGTTAAGCACAACTTGAGTTAAAGGTTGTCAGGCTCTGCCTGTATCCCATTGGAGGTACCGTCTATTCCATGATTGAGACATTTTTCTTCTGTCTATAGTCCACACCTACACTACGATGAGAAGGCTTAAAGTAAACCCAGCTTGCTCCAACTCCCTACTTGAAATATAACATCACTCTTTGCTACTGGTCTAAGGTTGTTCTGAAGTTTCCTGACCCTCTCCCTCATTCTGCACTTATTCTGACACATATCCTGCACCCAAGTCCCAGCTTCATACCTATACCCTAGCAAGACCTAAGCCTGTCATCCACAGAATGTACTGACCCTGAACCTTAGCCCCACTTCAGAAGGCTCCTGGCAGACCCAATTGCATATATGTATTTCTAAGTAGTTGCTTCTTTTGATTTCTAGAGTCATGTTTGTCCTTCATTTGGGTCTTTAAGTTTTCTGTTGTTACTTTGTTCCAGTTAGAGATTTTTTTTGGCCACAAATAATAAACAAATGTACGGTTTGAGCTTAAACGGATAAAGATTTGTTTGCTTCATTTAACAAAATTTCCTTGATCTAGGGCCACTATGGCAGTTCTTTAATATCCTAGCTTTTGCCAGGTGTGATGGTGCATTCTTAAAGTTCCAGTAAGTTGAGTGGATAAGCCTAGAGGATGATGCAGTTGAAGCTAGCCTGAACAACGTAATGTGGTTATAAACATCCACCCCAATAGAAAGATCCTGGATGTTCATCTTTACTATTCTTATTGTGGGCTTTCATTCATTTGCATTGTGCTTTAGGATGATGAGATAGCTACTTCAGCTCTGGGCTTTTTGTCTGTATTCTAGACAGAAGGAAAGGAGCACACTGAATAGGAAAAAGACTAAAGGCAAAGGTCAGTTTACAGAGCCTTTGCTTTTTATTCACAATGATATTCTGTATCCAGTAACATCCACCTACTCCTCTCTGAGTATGTTACATGGACATTCTGAGCTGCAAAAGAAGCTGAGAAATCCAGTATTCTTTTGCTTAGCACATTGCTGCACTGAACAATGGTGGGATTCTGCAAGTAAGGAAGAAGAGGAAAATCATTATTGGACTGAAAACCGGTAGCATCTTCCATGACCCCAACAATCCACAGCTTGCCTGGACTGTTATTTATCTCTTTATAACTAAATTCTTCCATTACTTGGCTTTTATTGCTGCATGGGACTTTCTCCTAGTGATTATAGCTGGTTTGTTCTTCTAGCACAGGATAGAAGACACCTGCCTGGTTTAACAATAGCATATGTGAAAAAGACCTTGATTTGATTGTAAAGTCAATGTGAGCCAACAGACTGATGATGCTGCCAAAAAAGCTAATTAGATTTTTAGGCTGCATTAATAGAAGTATAGAACCAGAACAAGAGAGGCTATGGTTCTGTCCTTTCCTACACTTGTCACATCCTACCTGGAGCACTGGGATCCATTCTAGACAGCTCATTTAAACTGTGATACAATGACAAAGTGTAGGATGTCTAAAAGTGAGTTACCAGGCTGGAGTAACAACAGCAGCAACACCATATGGAAAACAGTTGAAAGCTCTGGGCTTCTTCAGTCTA